CAAGAGCCGTCGAAACCGCTCGCAGAGTCAGTAGTGATCAACTGGTCTTTGATTCTCCGATTATTTCAACCTCCAGAACAAATTAATATGTATCTAGATCAAGGTACAGGAGAGAATCAAGGGGGAGGATGGGGGATTGTCTTGACAGAGATTCTTCTAAGTCGATTTTTTTTCTTTTGTTGGATTTTCGCGACTTTCCTGGCGACGCCGTCAGGGTCCCATGCAAATACTATTTTCGATAGCTGGAATTAGTAGTAAGTGTTTGGTGGCAGCATAACTATAACTTCGGATTGGTGCTTGTACTTTCCTTGTCGCACAAAATACTGGCGCTCACTGAGGAAAATATCAACGCACTCTATGGGAGTTGCATCACCGGAGGAAGAAATTCCAGAGGGGAGAGAGGTTGCCCTACACCGCTGCTCTCTTTACTTCTCCTCATGGGCACCAGATTATTCGGTAACAATGAGCCGTCGGCAGCCGTTCGGGGTCACCTTAGTCCAGGTTGACAGCGCTTATAGAACGACGAGTGAGCGTAGACAAATAGAAAACTGACGAAACTGATTGAGTCTGATCGGCCCGTAGTCCACGTAATCCGGTTACGGTCTAGGGTCGGAAGGCAGCGGCAGCGTTCCTCTGTTTCCTAATTTCCCCAACAATTAGTCACAGCAGGACGCAAACGAACATAGTTGGCTCGGCGTGGTATCGCAGAGCGGCACTACCGCGTGTCTCATTTCCGAGCTACATCAGTGGATCAGTGGAGCCGTCTGTTCATCGTAGCAGCTCAGCGCGTGCAGTGCTTCAAGTCAGGTGCACGCGCCACAGCCACGAACTTACTAATAATTAGCAAGGTTTTTTCAAGGAAGTTAGTGTGTGGCAGCTGTATGCAGAATATGGCGTAAAGCCTTTATACAGTCAGTGCTAAGATGGCAAATCATAAAATTATGGAGTCGAAAAAATCCGCATAAAGTAGTAGATAGGATTCATCCCCTACCTCGATGGAGTGGACGAGATTTCGACTTCTCTGCAATTTTCCATAACCTTGATTTTGCGATCCTCCATTTTGCTAAGTAACACTCCTTCCGTGGATTCTCCGCACCTTGAACCGCTTTGTATGTAACTGTCTAGAATGCGCTCACACTTTGCGAAAGCGTTTTGAGTCCGCCAGCGTTTTGGGATACTAGGTATGTACAGGAATCAACTGTTATAGATCTGAAAAAGTTGGCAGACGCTCGAAACGTTAGATCGATACCCAGACTTCCCTGGGCGCTCAAAACTCTGGCGGACGCTCAAATCTCTGATGGACCCTCAACACACTGGTAAACGTTCAACACCAATAGATGCTCAAAACGCTATGAACGCATTCGTACCGTGAACTGACGTTAAAATTCCTACTTTTTAGGCACGACGGTATTCATTTCGTGCACATGTAGCTCACTCAAGGTCCCTCTCACCACATCTCCAATCAAATGCAATAGCGATGGCGCCGTCGAACGATTCATCGATAGTAAATCGTTTTCCATCGATTGATCTCTCTATTAGACCTTCCCTGCATCAAATACTCGAGCAACCGGAGCAGTTCTTTCACATCAGTCAGCAGTCGGCCAAGGTAATTATTCTGGGTCAGTAGAAATTGGTACGCTTGACCTCGTTAATGACTTGTCTCGCACCTATGATTCGAGGCATAATTAGCGAGGTGCGAAGCGACCTCATTAAGCCGAGGCACGTTACGAGGCGGGCACGAGCTTCCAAAATCGGCACAAATCGAGTGAAAACTCTCAACAGATTAAGGTTAAGGCTTACGAAAAAGAAAAAAAAGATTGAGGTGAAGGCTTACGAAAAAGTAGTACGATAAGGTAGTGCTTCCTGTCAAACTGAATAGAATGGTATAATGCGTAGCTTTTAAATTTTTGAATTCTATTCCATATTTCAACAACACAAGACTGTAAGAAGAGAAAAGCGAAAAGCTAAGCATAGGCCGAAAAAAATTCAAGATAGTCGTACCCTCAGTTCGTTCAGTGATCCATGTAAAGTCTTCCAAGAAAAAGTCGTTGAATGCGACAATGAGCTTTATCAACAGGGAGCATCAAGCGCCCAAATAGAGTCCTACTGCAGAAAGATGTCCCAGTTTGTTACAAACAAAACTATATGATACATATTTATTCCATTTGCATACTTGTTTTTTTGTTTTGAATAAGTTTAGCAGATATAAATTAAATACGTAATAAGAATAATAATATCTATAATAAATAATAATAATATAATAATAATATAATATAAGCTAATAAATAGCTGGAATATATAGCAACCTTTTTACCCACTTCACCGAAAATTTTCAATGGATTCGTGCCTGGATAGCTCAATACTTCTCCTCTTATGGAACCGCCACAGAAGTTAGCCGTGACGTTGCTCGCCTTTATATGAGGTCGCTTCGCACCTCGCTAAATTCTGCCTCGAAATACTGAGTGCGAGAACAATCATTAGCGAGGTCAAGCGTACCATCTTTCTACGGCTAAGTTAATTTCTTCGACGTTCCACACGATTTTCAACTTTTACAATATTGCATGTAGATTACACACCCCTCCAATCGGTACTCGTTTTCACATAATGGTGACTCGTGGATCACAATCGACGGCACAACGGTCTTTCGAATGAGCTGAAACGGCGAGCAGATATTGAGCGTTATCGTGAAAGTGTTATGAAACCAGCTAGTTTGCGCCAGGTTGGTACCAAAGCTATTTCGCAGGTCAGTCATTCAAGGACTTGTGGTGTTTTCGAGAAGATATAGATGGCTGGACCCACTGAGAAAAGGTGCAAAAATACGATTTGTACTCAACTAATTGTGGCTGTTTTAAGATATCTTTAGAAAAACTGTGTTTCTCACAGTGTTTCCGGGGGAAAGGTTTGTTGAGGGGTACCCGTGCGGACCAGAAAAGTGTAATTCGTTTTCCTGCACGCCTATAGGATTACTAAGGAAAGGTTCTAGAAGTGCATGAAAGAATTCGTCAATAGAAAACGTTTTTACTTTTTTTCCTGTCTGGACATTCGAGTGTTTTTTAACATCGTGTTGGTCACACAAAACAAGGCAGTTCCTGCAGTTGGAGAAAATTTTCGAAAATGCTATTCCGCCTAATATCCTCTTCTGGTACGAGCCCCTTCCCATCTCACCCTCAATCATACTAACTTTTCCCAACTTCCTACCACTATTTTCCACACCTCGGGGAAATTTTGACTTTTTTCCTGAAACTTCGAAGTTAACGATCGGAAAAATTTTTGCGCGAGGAGACTTACTCACCCTTCCCCAACGAACCTCCCACCAATGTAAATAGCCCATTAAACGGAAAAAATCCACTATCAAAGAAAAGCCTATAGCAGTCCTTCCCCCTCCCTCCACCGACCGAATATCACCCCACTCACGGACTCGCAAGCGCACGACGTGTCCAGATAAACGCAAAGATCAGACATATACCGGCAAAAGAAAAATTACAGAAATGAAGCTTTTTCACATGAGGATTAGATACCTTCATCAATTGTTTGCCCTTCTCTGGCATTCCCAGAAGTGCGAGAATTCAGAAGAAATGAGGCTCACCCCGTCCGTGTATGAGCAGTTCCAATCACTGGGGATACTGGGTGTGTCAGCAGAGCTGCGTTCGGCGCGGCGCCAGCCGGTTTACCCCAGCTGTCATCGCTTGCTCCTTTCTACAGTTGCTGGAAAATAGGCTGGCGCTGCGCCAAATCCAGCGTTCTGGCACGTCCCAGCACCCGTAGCGAACAATACTATAGCTCTACGACATAAACCGTTCCGAAAAAAAAGAGAACGCTTCACGACTTGAAATATCCTTCCCATTGATTCCCTGTTATACTTCCTACTTGTTTTTTTTGATCCTTTTTCTGATTCACTATGCATTCCTCTTCCAGAAACGAATTGCATATTTTTGATTCTTAGTAGTTTATAATTTTTCACTAGGGCGTAAAAATCATTCCAATATGTGTCCTAGTTTCATATAAGTCGGAGCACGTGAATTTCAGGACAATGTCGATATAGAACAAGTGACTCTTACAATGGAAGTGACCTATAGCGACTATGAAGAAATGTTTACGAAAAGGTGCTTGGAGACGTTCTATTTGCTACTATACCTTGAGTTGCAGATATCAGGTTTTCAGGACTCTAGAGTAACACTGCAGGAAAGTCTGATGCCAGTATAATGTTCGATACGAACACCGTAATACAATTTCCTGATCGCGATGAACCTAACCCTGATTTCATCCATCAGGTATGTTTCGCCACTTTCCTCTGTTGAAACCATCTCACCAGGGAAGTCCGCCAAAATTACCATGGATTCTTAAATGGGAGACGCGGTAGAGGTTAGCAAGATTCTATAACAGTTGTTCACAAATATAGCTAGCAAAACTGCAACCTGCATTTCACAGACAACTTATGAGCAGGTAAAGTAAGTTGTAATGGTGCAGTATGGTGGAGGCTTGGTGGTGATCTATGAAACGTAAGAGCGCGTTCAGACTTCGCGATCGCGCGATCGGATCGCTTGGATCGCGCGATCCGATCGCGCTACTGAGGGTGAAATTACTGCGGGAGGGGGTTATGTGCGTATATGTTTATTGATCCTGCTCTCTCTCTCTCTTTTCCTTCTTTCTTCCTTTGTGTACATAACGCCCTCCTAATTTTAAAGAACGTTTCGAAATATCTTTGAGTTATTTATTATTTCCTATGTAAAATAGTACTAAATATACAATATGCTAATTATTATACTGAATTTTGCATCTGAGTACGTTCAAGCGGAGTGTTGAACATCTTGTTCCAAAAGTAAGACACGCAGAACTTTTAACAGCGGGTGATGTTGTTTCTCTCCCTTCCCCCGATTTTGCCAGTCCTCCAGATATTCACTTTACTTTTGTCACATTGTGTTTGCTTTGTTTGTTCTGCCATCCTCCAGGTTTCTAAACGAGGCAACCTTTCCTTTAAACGGTTTCTGCAAACGTCAGTATTGCGAATATGAACACGGAATAAAAGACATCAAAAAAGGTCGAACTTACTTTTATATCGTTTTTGGAACTGCCTATTGGAGGCAGGATACAGCATTGTGATGTGAGAAATGGTGATATTAGTACGCTCCCTTCCCAGAACTTTGTTGTTGTTGTTTGTTGAGTTGAGTTGAACATGAACGAACATGACCCCCTCCCGCAGTAATTTCACCCTCAGTAGCGCGATCGGATCGCGCGATCCAATCGCGCGATCCAAGCGATCCGAATCGCGCGATCCAAGCGATCCAATCGCGCGATCCAAGCGATCCA